TAATATGAGAAATTATTTCATTTTTTCTATTAAAGGCGTCCAAAATGACGCATTAACTAATAATTCGAATACCGAATTATTGCATGCGATGGATATGTACCACTATAAATCATTTAACCATTCAATGAAGCCACAAAATGATGATAAACCAGATCGACTCCTATACTTTTATCCATTATGAAGCAAAGAAAGCATTCACGAATGGAATACAAAGTGATCCAATTTTGAGCGATACATATTCTTCTACATTTTCCTAATGATCAGGAACTAAGCATTGCTCCGAATTAGGAAAAATTAAGACGGAAATTTAAATTCCGTAGAAAATATTACTGAACTAGGTGATCTCGTTGAATCACTAAACTGTTTCTAATACGAGTCATATTTCAGTCCAGGAGCTGTCGACACTCACGTCCTTCAGAAAGTCGGACTCAGCCGTGAACAAGAAACCAAGGTAATAGAAATGTTGAGACTTGCTTCAGCCGAACTTTATTCTGATCATCGAATATTATCACGAACACATACATCAGCAATTGAATCACCTTTATGTAACTTATTGAAAAACTTAATGGGGTCACAAAACCTGATGCTTTTTGATTCGTTTTAAGCTCATTGTCGGATTGTTTATCTGCCTAAGATCGATTCCGAAGCTCATTGCTCGATTGGATACTTATTGTTTCTGATAGATCGATCATGATGCTAAGCAAACTTCTCAACTCGTCGTAGTTTATTGCTCATCAGTGAGGATTTCATAAGGAATATTTAGTAAATTGATTTCGTGAATACATTTTTTGCTATGTAACAGCTGAAAAGGCTGAGTGCATTTCGACTATCATATTCTCTTTTGGCAGTAGTTTTAACGCAAATAGAAAGATCAGCAATTCAGCTAAAGTTCAAAAGCACACAAATCTCTCTTTGATCCCATCAAAGTTAACAATTTCTAAAGAATCGCTCATAGAACAATATGACTTCAGGTACTAGAATATACGGCGAAGACAGCCATCCCGATGGGACGTGCAGCGCAGCCTGAAGAAATAGCCGAGCCGATCTTATTTTTGGCAGATAAGAAGATGTCTAGTTATATCACTGGACAGAATCTGATCGTTGACGGTGGTGCCACTTTACAAGTGGCGATGGCATCGTTCGATGTAACTGATATGATGAAAAAATAAATTCATTCAGTCTGAATTGTTTTCGTTTTGCATTATGAAATACCTTTCGCTACTTTAATGTCATCACACTCTATTGTGCCAAATAAGTTGATCTCCGTCGGTTACACATCGAATAGTGAAATTGCTGATCGACTGATCATAATGAGTTTCTGTTCGCGTAAAATTAATAACGTTTGAAGTTTATAAAACTGCTATCCAATCGTTT